TCTTTCCCTGACAGTAGTGAAGGATTAGTTTGGGAGAATGGTAATAGAATTTGGTTTTAATATTTCTCCAGTTTGTGGCTGCTCGAGAATTTGGTCGCACAGTATAAACTACTTTTGTGGCACTGAAACTTACTTTGCTATTCTAGTGACCTTGTTTCTTTGACACAAAGAAGTGCTCAAAAAGCAAAGATTCTCCATGAATTGTTGCTCCACACGTTTGGCTGTGGATACCCATTCCTCTCTTGCTTTAGAAGTTGGTGAGATTTTTGACCGGATGGCATCTGTGCAGCAGGAGCAGGCATGCTCCCTGCACCATGTTCATGACAATGATGTAATGATATATTGCTCCCAGTCTCAGTTCTTTTTGCTTGACATAGAATATTTTTTGTCCTTCTCAATCTTTCACAGGGTTTCATAACAATCTTTCAAGTTTTAACTGGTACTTCTCTAGCTTTTCCTTTGTTGCCTGCATGCAGAAGGAAAAAGGGCAGGGAATGAAATTCCAGGAAAACTTCTCCTTTTCCCAAAAAACCACTTAGTCTTTGAATTTCCCTTTTCAAGCATGATCTCATCAAGATTTCCAAGCTTCGTAGTCTTCCCCTGTTGTGATGGAGTGCCAGGGATGGACACACCAAGAATCTTTATTGCTTTGGAGAAGCTCTCATTCTTTTTCCTGGCACAGACAATCCATTAAATGGACAAAATATAAATGTGGAAAGATGATTATTCTGTCACAAGATAACACAATTATAGTATTCTCTATATTTAATGCAGGGCTGATTTGGTAGCCGAACAGAATACTGAAACCTATTCTGTTATTGTTCCAGTCTCTTCTTACAAATTAGTATTGGTTTAAAGAGGCCTAGTCTATTAAATTTAGGGTCAGACACTGTACATGCAGGTCACCAGAAATTAAGATGAGACTATCATACATGAAAATGCACATATATGTAAACTTTGTGGTCTGGAATTAATTGCAGTATGTAAATTCCCATAAATTTTTGCTAGCAGATATTTTGTGTACATGTGATCAGTGGATTATTTTGCAGTTATGTTAAAAACCACATTGCATATTGAACCATTCAAAATTCTTTTCTGTATATGTTTTAGTGCTTCATTGCCTGTTTTTTATTTTGTTTTATTTTGTTATTAATTGATACATTTAATTGATTAGTTGGTACATTTTTTAATTGATAAAACATTACTTTTTGATGCTGATGTCATTTGATTTTCACTCAGCTAATAAAAAACAGGTTATAATATATATGTCAGCGTATTTGTTTTAACTTTACCTGTACATTTTCAGAGACAGATGTATATACTTTTGGACTTGGACAATATGGACAGCTGGGACATGGTACTTTTATTTTTGAAACTTCAGTACCAAAGTCTGTGAAACACTTGAGGAGGCATAAAATATGTAACATTACATGTGGGGAAAATCATACTGCTGTAATTGCAGGTATGTAAGTGAAAAATTCTGAAACACACTTCCAGTGACCATTATATTGTAAAATAATCATGCCGTGCTAACAAGTATTCTTGTTTAGAAGCCTTTGTTTTGCTATACAGTTTCAATCTTAGTGGGTTTTTGTTGATTGGTTTTTTTCCCAAAATTGTCTAGACTAACTCTAATCTCCAGCAGTATTTTGTCTGAAAAAAATATATACTTTTTGATCTTATTCATCAGTTGAAAATCTGAAAATAGTTGTTCAGGTTTTGCTTTTGAAAGAGAAATCACAGAATCACAGAATGGTAGGAGTTGGAAGGGACCTGTGGAGATCGTGTAGTCCAACCCCCCTGCTAGAGCAGGATCACCTAGAGCAGGTTGCACAGGATCGCGTCCAGGCAGGTTTTGAATCTGTCCAGAGAAGGAGACTCCACAACCTCTCTGGGCAGCCTGTTCCAGGGCTCTGTCATCCTCAATATATTGCTTATAAATTATAATAGTGCTTATAAATTAAAATATTCCTTACTTGCAGGGCCTGTTACTTTGTTTGTAATGGTTTTGTCCTGGTTTTGTACTGAATCTTTGTTATTAATAACATCCTTCCTTTTTTTTCTATATACAGAGAATGGCCTCATGTTTACTTTTGGAGATGGGCGACATGGCAAGTTAGGACTTGGAGAAGAAAATTTTACAAATCAGTTTGATCCCACTCTGTGTTATAATTTCTTGAGGTTCACGGTCCTTTTGGTAAAACTTTTGTTCATGCTTCTTAGACATCAAAATGTTTATATTTTTATGAAACGTTATTAATGGGAGTTGAAATCTCATTATAGAATTATTTTTTTCTACAACATTTAATTAGTGGGCAAGACAAGTTGAAAGAAAAAGGAAAGTATATTTACTTATCATGCTGTTCATTTAGTTTGGAATGTACTTGACTTGGACTACACATATAGACTGCTTTTTAGGGCTTTGTTCAGTAGTGTTATGCTATAGTGTTTTGGTCCTTAGAGCTGGTAGTAGCCTATAAAATTAAATATTTGTTGCTTTTAGATTGTTGGCAGTAGGGGAGAAACTAAAATCTGTTCTGAAAACACCAGAGTGACATCTTTTTAATTTTAACTATTATTTGTACAGTGGGATATTTGTTAAATCTTAAGAAAATTTGAGGACTTGCCTTTTTGAATCCAAATGGGATGAGAAAGGTGAAATACTGTTTTCTTTGAAGATCATTGTTTTCATATATTTCCTGAGGTGTTTAAGAAATAAATACCACAGAATTGCCAGCATCAAAAATGCAAACATGACTCAGGATTGAGCAAAATTTGGGACAAAAGTCTGTGGCTCATTTCTGTTTGTTTACTGGATTTAGAGTTTCAGGAAGTTTTATCAGAAGTGGTAAACTTTTTAGAAAGTGAAACCTCTGATCTTTATGTAATTATACTTTGTCTATTGGTGGGCGTAGGACTTTGCATTACATTTTGTGGATTTTGTGATAAAATATCTAGGTATTTTATCACTGAAGTTATCAATATTGCCCACATTTTGACTTGCATCAAAATAATTAGCTCCAATCCCTTCAAAATCAGTGGACATGTCTTTGCTTTTTTCTGTGTCAATAATTTGATAGAGCTATCTTTTGCTCTGTTCAAGTACGTTGTATTTAAGTAAGAAGAAATGAACATAGATCACTAACTATTAATAATTGTAATTATGTATTTTTATCTTGCTATTGTCATTAGGAGCTAAATTTGAAGCAATTTAATGACTCTTTTATTATGTTTTTCTTATAATCTAAGTCCCTAGAGATGCTTGTAAGAAAATCAGATCCTTGTATTGATATTTACAAATGAAATAAGCAGACCTTTTTTTGGTGCCATAGGTTGCTTGTGGTGGTTGTCACATGCTAGTTTTTGCTGCTCCAAGACCTAAAGGATCTGAAGAAATAGTCTTAGAAGATTTATATGAGAGCCGTTTGACTACTACTATCTCTAAAATGAATGGAGACTCACTACTAACAAACACCTTACAACTAACATCTGCACGCATGCGACGTCGAGAGAGGGTAAATTCAGAGCTGTTTAGAGTTGCCATACTTGTTTTAGGAAACAACATAACTTTTTAAACTAAAATCAAAGCATATACCCAGCAGCTAAATATATCTCCTGAAAATGTGTCTTTCATTTTAATGTATTAAAAAAGAAGAATGAATATCTAATCTGGTGCCAAAATTGATGGAGGTAAAAGATAGGTATTGGTCAGATTTTACTTGTTTATTTGTATGAGAAACACTCAAATTGGTTTTGTATTTTTTTAATTCTTAAATGTTCCTTTTATCTTTAAAAATATCTTAGAAATATTAAAAGAAAGAACCTGACTCTCCGGTGTTCCCTTTGAGTCCTTCAGTAGATTAAACAAGTTCATAGTTTATAAAATGTCAAAGGTGAAAGTTTCACAATAGGCTTAAAATGATCCTAAGACCCTGTAGCTACTAAAAATAGTAGTTTCTTCCCCTTTATCTCCACTACACATTCCATGTGATTTCTTTAGCAGCACAATGAGTTGGATCATTTCACTTACCTGTCTGAAAACTAACTGTACCACAAAACCACATTTATTTTGTAAAAATATATTGATGCTATGGATTAAGTAACTCAATGTTATTTGAGAAACTAGTATTTTCATTTTAAATAAAAATCAAAATTATTTTTATCATAAAAACTTAGAATCATAGAACAGTTTGGGTTGAAAGGGACCTTAAAGCCCATCTAGTTCCAAGCCCCCTGCCATGGGCAGGGACATCCTCCACTAGACCAGGTTGCCCAAAGCCCCATCCAACCTGGCCTTGAACGCTTCCAGGGATGGGGCATCCGCACGTTCTCTGGGCAACCTGTTCCAGTGCCTCACCACCCTCACAGTAAAGAATTTCTTCCTGATATCTAATCTAAATCTCCACTCTTTCAGGTTAAGGCCATTGCCCCTTGTCCTTTCACTACATTCCCTGATAAAGAGTCCCTCTCCAGCTTTCCTGTAGGCCCCCTTTAGGTACTGGAAGGCTGCTAGAAGGTCTCCTTGGAGCCTTCTCTTCTCCAGGCTGAGCAACCCCAACTCTCTCAGCCTGTCCTCATAGGAGAGGTGCTCCAGCCCTCTGATCATCTTCACAGCCCTCCTCTGGACTCGCTCCTTTGTCTATATTTTAAGACTGCTTGAGATTATTGTGTAGAAACTACCTAAAATATCCCACTGTATCTTTCCACTTTGTATAAATAATTAAAATATTCAAGAAATTTTGTTTATGCTTTGCATACAATGTTACAACACTGTATTATCAGCTAAAGGAAAGTGCCACTGTTAAGTATGAGAGGTTGCTTGCATTTTATTCTTCTACTCTTATTCTCAATATTTTGTTCTTAATCTTCTAAAGGAAAAGTCACCAGAACAGTTTATTCGAATGGCACGAACCCTGCCTCCACTGGGAGAAGGCTTCCTAAGATCTTCATTGCCTGTGACAAGCAACACTAGCCCACTTTGTTTTTCTGCAAGAAGTCTTCCTAAAGCTGAACCTATGAAGGATAGACACCATGAAAAAGGTGAAGTGTCCCCACATTTTGTTTCTGTTTTCTGAGAATTATGTAATTTGACTCTGATCATTCATAAACAAATGCTCAGTTTGAGCATGAAAGAAGGTTTAAGCTCAGTCTTACCTCAAGAAGGTCTAGCAGAATACAGACGTGAAAGTTGAGAAGTGCGTACGAGAAATTGCCTCACATTTGGTTCATATTTGGAAAACAGGGTTAAATATTTAGAGGAGGGTTGAGTGAAAGAAAAACAACTTCTGAATTGTACCAGAGGTTCCTCGAGCCTGTAGAAATATGACTTCACAAAAATACCATAAGATTAGTAACACTTTCTCCATTTTCACAAAAAAGAGAATTACAGAAAAAATATTGATTAGGAACAGTCATAAAGAGACAGGGAGGTCTACAACAGACCTTGGATAAGAAAAGAGCTCTACTAATTCTTGTGGGAGCTTTCTTCTTCACTTGGAAATGCAAAAGTACTCTTCACTCCGTTACCTAAGATAACAAGGATTTGCAATATTCCAGCTAATACAGAAGCCTGGATAACAATGATACTGATACAGTGCTGGACGTTTGCACAGATTCTCTAGAGCAGTTCTGGACTTCATCTGGGTTCCTGAGCATGAGTGATTTCCTGGGCAGAGCAATTCTGAAGAGTACAAAATGCAGTGCATCTGTGTAAAAGTTAGCTCAGATTTATTGGACAGTTAAATCCAATTTGAAAGTAATTAATTCAGTTAGAATTAAGATGATTATTTGTAAAGCTGCCAGCACGTCCATTAGCATTTCTGGTTCCAGGAAAGCAACGCAGTGAAATTCCAATTGCCTTTGGAGTCTTCTGAGGCCTAAAACCTCAGGTTTTGTGCCATATGAAAGTAGTCATATACCTGATGAACTTGATGTGAACCTGAAAATGATGTAGGTACATTTTAATGATGCTGCATTGAAGTTAAACTCACTGTCTCTCCATCCATTACACAGATAATGTGCAATGTAGATAATATGACTGCAGCTAATTTAGTCTAATTGGTACGCTATTATTAAAGATATTATCCAAAAGAAGCTTTGCTCCATGTAATATTTATGCTTTGAAAACCTGCAAAAATGGTCAGATCTACAGTGCACTAAGGTCAGATTGCTGAGCGACCTCTAGTGTTAATGCTGACGAAAAGGGGGTGGAAGTGTTTCTGCTGTATCTTAGGCTGGGGGAATGAGGACTCTCAGGACTTCACTGCTATGTCAGCAAAATAGAGATAATCTCTGTTTTACAAGAGTGGAGTGTTCTGTTTGCTATATATTGCTTTTTCCTATGGTATTTGTTTACCTCCCCCTATTTTACCTTAAAGAAAAGAATCATCAAAAAGATAAACCTGGTGAAGGCTCTGCAGAAGAAGATTCAGATGATGAAAATAATGACAGAAACCTTGGAGATACAAGTGACATCCTAAATATGGTAATATATTCCACTAATAAATCTGTGATTCAGTCATTTTTATGCAGGGGAAGAACAAAGCAGCTAAGTCATGTTTCAAGTTCTAGTACAGAACTCCTGGCTAGCCCAGAACATCATATGTGGCATCAAGAAATACTGACGTACTGTTAAATGAGCATGCATTTCATATCGTCATTATCCAGTGCTAAAGTTTGTTTTCATTTTCCAAGTAACGTAGTATGAGATTGAAGCAGTCCAAGTAGCACAGCCCCTCTGCATGCTTTAGCATATATATATGAAAATATCAGAAAGGAAAGGATACTACATAGTGATCTCTATCTCTGACCATCCTCATCTTGATGATTTCCAAGAGAGAGAACTTCAGGAAATGAAGCAAAGAGCTGTCTTTTCCTGTTCCTAGAAGAGCTTTTTTAGTACAGGTGGATCATATAAAGGGAAGACCAAAATGCAGACATTTTGATTTTTTGGTGATCCCCAAGCAAGTTCCTGTGGGTTTTTTTAATTTAAAAAATATGTTCACCATATCACTTGTGCACCTTTTCAAAACATTTTGTTCTCTCTCTCAGCAGACAGGGCAATGTCCTGGCCTTAACACAGTGCACTGGAAAGAGAGTTGCTTTTTGTCTTTTTTTAACTTCAGTGGAATGGAAACAAATGAGCAACTTAGTGTGGACTCAGCTCAGGATATGTTGTCAGTTATGCTGGAGGGATTGCACATTTTACAGGAATTATTACTTGTTTGTACTTAGCAGTACTTAGTAATTTAACAATCTGTTTGTCCATACCATTTATTTAACAGTTATAAAACTTTGTTTTCATATACAAGGAAAAAAATGGTTTTAGATATGATGCACAACATGACCTTCATTAATTTATTGAGGCATTATTTATAATATATTGCACACTTTTTGTATTAGACTTCCTTCTCCTTTTTTTCTTGTACCCATTGTGAATCAATTTTAAAACATTTGTCAGAATGAAACAGTAAATTTCAAAAAAGTCTGTCAGGCAAACTTGTCAAAATACAAAGAAAAATGATTGCTCTTCTTGAATCTGAATGAGAGTAATCTGTTACAGCACAGTTGTTTCAATTTTTCTAAACTGTGGCAACATACATCTTATTGACAAGTGTGACAAGAGGAGGAAAACCCTTTAATATCATATTGATGATACATATTCTTGGGAGTCAGAAACCATAAGCAGTTAACAAACAGCAGCAGAGAACATTATCTTATTATTTGGCGTATAAGGGAAGGAATGACCAAAATCTGACTATACTTGCCAGCCTCGTGGTATTCTACATTGCCTTGCCTTTTCTTTTTTTGCTTTATGTAGAAGAGATAAAGGCATTAGATTCCAATGAAAATTTTGGCTGTATAACGTTTCCTTGATCATGTTCTTTCAAGGCTGTGGTATCAAACTGAATGTTAAGTTGAAGGGTGTGATGCTAAGAGAGTAAGGTGTTGTTAACATTTGTAGCCACAGCTTCACGGTGAGTGGAAGGTGGATCTAAAATGTGCTTGCGGGCTCTAAGAGAGGGCGTGTACCTTTCAGTCTCTACAGACAGTTTAGAGGGAGTGGAAGTGAAATAGGTGAGTCGAATGATCATATAGATTTGTCTCAACCTGACTGTGCAAGGATATTAAAATGTTCATATAACTTATAATAGCTCTGTTTAGTAGAACTGGGCGTTGATGCTGCTTTCACTACTAGTTATATTTTATTTTTTTTAATAGAGATTTTATTCTTTGCAGACACATGCAATGAAATTGAATCCCAGTGACCAGTCCTTACAGTTATCACCACTCCAGAAACAAAAGGTACTGTAACTAATTATATATATATATACACACCCATGTATACTTAATACTGATGTTTAAATGTTCTGTAATTCTTTATCCTTGTACTTCATTGTTTTGCTTTGAGTTTTAAAAAAGCTAAGCAAATTTTATAGGCCTCCTCCTGCTAATTTTCTCAATATCCACGAGGTAAAATTCTAAGAAGCTGACAGAAGTCAGAGGGAGTTTGTGCACGCACATAGAATTCCCCATAGCCAGCATAGTTGGAGATGAGAGCATATAATACTTCACCAGTTTAAAGAACAAAAGACTATCATATATACTTTGTAACTTATGCTGATAACACACATTTCTACTGGTTTGTTGATATTGAAATATTTTAATTGACTTTTGGGACACAATGTAAGTAAATATTTTATTTACAGAAATTCACCATGGAGTATATTTAAAGGAGCAATAATACTGGTTTTAATTATGAAATTAAAATACTTTTGTATTATCTTTCTATTTCACTCCTAAAGTGATCCCAGCATTTCAGTATTTTGGTATATTTCATTATAATTTTATATTTTAAAAAATATTCTACAGAATTTGTTTAATAAGCATAAAATTTAAAGCAGAAGGACAACAGATTTTCAGACTTCTTAGAAAAAGTATAACAGTGAGTGCATCAGATGATTTCCTAAGGGGAAAGATGGAGGAAGGTGTAAGAGAACTGCAGTTCTTTCCTTCTGTTCATACAGCCTCACACTTGCATGTGCTCTCGCTTATGGGACAGATACTGGCTGCACAGTTCTTCTTGCATTCACTTTGTGTGCTTGGATAGTGAAAAAGGAGTAGTAGTACATTTATCATCAACAGAATGTTTCCTTCTTCTAATATGTGCACTTGTAAATTCATTTCATGTGAAAGACTACCTTTTATGCTGTCTTTCAGACCCCTCATACAAATTGTTTCTTTTCTTGTTCAGATGTTTTTGTAACCTTTTTCTTTTGCTGTCATTTGTTCTTAATGCTTTCCTTCTTTCTCTTTAATTTTCTGCTTCTCATGTGGAATAGAAGAACAAAAAAAATGTGAAACTGAAAAGAGATGGTAAGGGTGGGCTGAAAAACAAGGATTCTGATTTCATGAAGGAGGGCTCAAAATTAGACTCTGGGTCTTTACAAAAGCAGTCTTCACTTTCAGAATCACCAGGACAAGATTTAGAAAAAAACAGTGCCTTTGTAGGGAAGCCTGTGGCCAAAAAAAATACAACGAAAGGTAAATCTGAGAATGCACAAAGTGTTAGTACTTTCAAAAGTGATGTTCAACAAATTACTAGGGACAAATGCAGATTAGTGAAAAGGGAAAAAGAATATGTGGAAAATCCTGAATTTGTCAGAGAGGAGGTACCTTATAATCTTCCCGCTGAAAAACAAGTTCTGACTGAAAAAACAAATTCTTCCAATAAAAAGTCAAAAGCTGTTAAATCAAAGCAATCCCTTAAAATAGATGTACTTCCTTCTGCACCCAGGCCCAAGACTGATCCATTAATTGTACAAGAATACAATCCTGTAAAGCAAGGAAGTCAAGAAGCAGTAGAAAGCCGAAACAAAATAGAGGATGTTGTTGAAAAATCTGATAAATGTGAAAGAATATGCATCAGAGAAAAAGAAAGTAGTGACAAGCAAAAGGTTTTTAAAAAAAAGGATCAATTTTTAAAACAAATAGCTGTAACTATGTCATCATCTTCATCTGAGGAAAGCAGTCGTGATCTTGCAAAATATGGACGTAAGAGTAGGGAAAAAGAAGAGGACTACTATGAAGGCAGAGAGGTCCAGAAGGCAATGAAAACAGTAGAAAACGTGGAAGATTTGGACTTAGAAAAAGAAGACAATGAGACTGAGGAAGCTACAAACAGCGAGAAAGAATGTGTAGAAGAGACTGATATAAAAAGTCTGAATGAGGAAGAAACAAACTCTGAAGCCAAATCTGATGAAGACAGGCTGTTAGAAATTAAGAATGAGGAGGCATCTATTCAAGAGCAGGAGAGTGAAGGCAGTGAAAAGGGTGAAAGTGAAAAACTAGATGAAACAGTTGACAGTGAAGGTGAACTAGGGAAGAAAGAAGAGAGTGAGGTTAAAAAAGACAGATATGAAGGTTCAGTAGAACAAGATGAAGACGAAGAAGAAAAAGATAACGAGGAAGAAAATGAAAGAGAGAAATCACAGGCTGAACAAGATGATCAGAATGAGGGTGCAGAAGAGATTGAAGAGATTAATCAGGAAGATGGCAAAGAGCAAGGAGATGAGGAAGGCAGGTTGATGGAGGAAGAAGAAATGCTGAGTGAGGGAGAAGACAAGGATATGGAGGAGGAGGAGTATGTGAAAGAGGAAGACACTGAAAAAGAAAAGGAGGAACAGGTTAAAAGTGAGGGAAGAGATGAGAATGAGGAAGGAGGTGAAGATAGAGAGGGGGAGGAAGAAAAAGAGATAGAGGCAGAAGAGGAAGGAGAAGATGAAAAAGAAAATGAAGGAAACAAAGAAAGGGAGAATGAAAAAGACAAAGAAGGTGAAGAGGAGGAGTTAGAAGAATCATTGGCAGGAAGGGAAGAAGATGAGGTATCTGAAGAAGAACGGGAAGAGGAAGATGCCAATAGGCCTAAGGAGGTGGGAGAGTATGGAGTGGAAGAAGAAGGAGAAGAAGGGGAGGATGAAATGAAAGAGGAAAGAGAGGATGGGGAGGAGGGAGAGGAAGGAGCAGAGGCAGAAGCAAAAGGGGAAGAGGGGGAAGAAGATGAAAACGAGGAAGAGGAGTGGGAAAATGAAGAAGAGGAAGGGGAAGAAGAAGGAGAAGATGAAGAAGAGGGACAAGAGGTGGAAGAAGATGAGGGAGAAGGGGAGGAAGAAGAAGAGAGAGAAGAGGTGGAAGAAGATGAGGGAGAAGGGGAGGAAGAAGAAGAGGGAGTGGATGAAGAAGAGGGAGAAGAGGGAGCGGAAGAAGGAGGAGAAGAGGGAGCGGAAGAAGGAGAGGGAGAAGAGGGAGTGGAAGAAGGAGAGGGAGAAGAAGGAGTGGAAGAAGGAGAGGGAGAAGAAGTGGAGGAAGAAGAGGGAGAAGAGGGAGTGGAGGAAGAAGAGGAAGAGAGAGGGGAGGAGGAGGGAGGGGAGGAAGAAGAAGGGGAAAAGGGAGAAGAAGAAGGGGAAGAGGGAGAAGAAAAAGGGGAAGAGGGAGAGGAGGAACACGAAGGGGAAGAGGAAGAGAGAGAAGAAGGAGAAGAGGAGGAAGGGGATGTGGGAGAGGAGGAAGAAGAGGATGAAGGAGAGGAGGAAGAACAAGAGGAAGAGGAAAAAGCAAAAGGTAAAAGAAAACCTGATAGTAATAAGCTTCCACAAAAGAAGAGCAAAACCAGGAGGCCAGGGAAGATGGAAAGTACTGCTTTACCAAACAGCTCTAAACAAAAAATGAAATCCAAACAACATGTAGCAAATGGTTTACATAATTCAGAACAATTTTGGAACAATGTGCTACCTCATTATTTAACACTAAAGTAGCATAGACTATTGGAGATGCATTTTAAGCCTATTCAGGAAACTTTGGAAATATGGCAGATTGATTTTTATTACTTAATATTTTTTTAATGTAGTCAAAATGTATTATTATGCATATACTTTAAGTGCCAATTTCTTGAAAAGGTCTGAAGAAAATGTTCAGATTTGGGAAGCTTTTATATAAATTGTTGATAAAGTCATTTACACAATCATCTTTATCATGTATGACACAGATTTTAAAAAGTAATTGCTGAGGAGGCAAAATATGTTTGCCTGTTAATTAAATTATAATGTCATGCTGACAACATGAATTATACATTGTAACAGTGTAATCTTCTTTGCCTTTGAATCAGATTTCTTAAGGTAATGCGTCAGTTTTAGTTGCAGGATAGCTTACTTGTTAATGATGTGCCTTATTGTCGTGGTTTAACCCCAGACAGCAACTAAGCCCCACGCAGCCACTCTCTCACTCCTCCCCACCAAGGGGACAGGCGAGAGAATTGGAAGGATAAAAGTGAGAAAACTCATGGGTTGAGATAAAGTCAGTTTAATAGGTAAAGCAAAAGCCGCGCACACCAGCAAAGCAAAGCAAGGAATTCATTCCCCACTTCCCATGGGCAGGCAGGTGTTCAGCCATCCCCAGGAAAGCAGGGCTCCATCACGCCTAACGGGGACTTGGGAAGACAAATGCCATCACTCTGAACGTCCCCCCCTTCCTTCTTCTTCCTCCAGCTTTACAGGCTGAGCATGACGTCATATGGTATGGAATATCCCTTGGGTCAGTTGGGGTCAGCTGTCCCGGCTGTGTCCCCTCCCAACTCCTTGTGCACCCCCAGCCTGCTCACTGGTGGGGTGGGGTGAGAAGCAGCAAAGGCCTTGGCTCTGTGTGAGCACTGCTCAGGGATAACAAAAACATCCCTGTGCTACCAACACTGTTCTCTGCACAAATCCAAAACACAGCCCCATACCAGCTACTATGCAGAAAACTAACTCCATCCCAGCCAAAACCAGCACACTTATATGAAAAGAGTGTCAGTAAATCATCAAAGATACATATTTTTAAATTTTAGTATCACTCCATATTCATTCCCCCTACTTTTCTTCTGTTCATACATATACTGGTAAAACATTTGAGTACTCAGCATAAATTAAAGAAAGGGCAAGTTGCCAAATTTACATGGGTCAGCAGATGGGAGGTTAATGGCAATAGAAGCGTGGGTAAATGATGGCCTGGGCTTTTTTGAAGGCCTTAAGGTCGACTTGTTATTTTGGCGTCAGCACACAGTTATGTGCAAAAAGGGTAATACAAGTCTCAGAATCTGGCCTAGATTGCATTAGAGTCAGAATGCATCTGTTTAGGCATAATTTTTGACTATCACATTTAGTGACTAGACATAATTAAGAATTTGAAAATACACACCTGTAAAACATTTTTTACTTGTGTATACTGTGCAGTAAACAAAAGATTCAATATCTGCCTACAAAAGACTACATTACATTAGTCATCTAAGGTTCTCAAGGAGGGAAGCATTCTGGGTTGCGGTATGAAGTGTATATATGTTTTCAGGATCAGAGCCTCAGCTTCTCTTCATTGGAGAAGTGTTTTTCTCTCCTGAAAATCACATCTGTGATCTCCAAAAAGACGATGATGTAATAAACCAAGAGTCCAGATGGAATAGTAGAGACAATGGCATGAAAGGCTAAATTCTTTTTGGAAAAGACAAAGTATGTTAATACTTCTGGAGTTTCCTTAAAATACACAAAAAAACCCCTGCAAATTATTTTTGTGACTTTGTAAGGTACTGCATTACTGTTTCAACTATTAGTGGTCAAACTGGCAAAAGAAGGGATAGGAACTCATCAATCAGCATTACTACTTAAATACTGTGGGTGGTCCAAGAAACTTTTTTAAACGGATCTTGTATTGACATTCTCTGGAAAAATGACTGTTTAAATCCTATTTGAAAATGAGGACAGGAGGAGAAAGGAATCAAAATGAATAAATGTCATTCAATAAAAATGTGAATAGAATCAATACTTACGTTGAGATTTAAAAATATTTTTAATGTTGTTTTGTAAGATACTGGCATTAAACTATCTTTGACACAATGTCTCCAGAATTTATTTTCTAAAAAGATGGTGATAGATTAATAGATATTGCCAGTAGATTCTAGTCCAGTTCGATCTTTCTTACCTCAGTCACCTCTTCCATATACCGCATGTGAAGGTAAGATCACTTTCAGTCACTTGCCGTATGCCCTCACTGTAACAAAAAGTTAGTCCGGTGACAGTATTGTCTCCCTGTGAAATTTATTTCAAGCTCTGAGATTTTCTAGAATACATGGTCTTGACATCAGCATGTGTAAGTCTTTGGAAAAGGGTAAGTATCCTCATATTCTGATAGAGTGGAGTATTTTAACAGTTAATTGCAGTTCCCAAGAAAACAGCTCGCAATGGAGTCCTCGGTTATTTTGCAGAAGTGCTGCGTATCACTGAACTGCTCTGAAAATACTTGCTTTTGAAGTGGAGTTGAGCTGTGTTATTATATCTTGCTTAGGAAAGATTAGATGTTGCTGTGATTTAGCTTAGAGTAATATTGAAAAGGTTTTTTTATAGTCCTAAAACTGTGTTTCTTGGATATGATGTCTACTTATTTGTGATTCTAAAGTTCAGCTTTGGAAGAAAACTGTGCTGTGAAAAAATCTGTTATTTCTTATGAAAAATATTTGCTAGAGAGAGGAGGAAAAGGGAGAGGACTTTGAAGCAAGCGATTTCCAGTTCCGCATAGGAATGGGTCTCATGTATTGCTTGGCTGTAGCTTTTAATCTAAATCCTTAGGCAAATGGGGGCCATTTGTTGTTCCTCTCTTAACGTGTGCTGATAGTATAAGGCTTCCCAGGAGAGTAAAGGAAGCCAGGTTATGGGCATCTCCTCTTCTTTGTTTTGTCTGGATAAAAATTCATTGACTTGAGAACTGATTTTATATTGTTTTGTGGATCATTCCTGTGGTACGGGAAAAGCAGAACATTACTCCAGCACTTCTAAGGGTTTTCCACAGAATCGTTACATAAATTGTACACTGTGCCAATGTTTCTGGGCTTTGGGGGGACTTTGGAACTCCATTAGCGTAACGAGTGGAATTTTATTTAGTTTGACTCATACTGGTTTATAAAGTTTGGTACTTGTGGTTTTGTGGAAATTCAGTGTGTCTTTGGTATTTATTATGGGATACAAAAAGATTTATGTGCAGTACTTAAGCAACATGGCAGAAGTAATCCTGAACTAGTTTTTAGTAGAGAAAAAAAATCCTTCAATAGAGAGAGAAACAACAGATAACTGCTCAGACCAAAGGTCTAGTCCAATATCTTTTTTCCTACCAGTAGCTACTGGTGAATGCCTGGCAAAATATCCCAGAATCAGAGCAAGCATGTAGTGTTACTTCTCCTGTGTAATCATTCAGTATACCGAATATATTCAGTATATTCAATAATCTGTAGTTCAGAAAATGTATCTATTGTATTTAATAGCCATTTTTTCCCATGAATTTCTTTCAATCAGTTTTTAACCCATTTAGCATCCAGTACATGTTTTGGCAAATAGTTCTTAGATGACTTTACACAATGTTTGAAGAAGTAAGTCCTTTTTTTGTCTTGACTCTGTCTTTTGGTACCTTCATTTGATATCTCTGTATTCTTGTATTAGAAAAAAGAGCATTTATTCCCTCTTCGTGATTTATTCCCTCATGACTGACACATGGAAAAAACTCTTCAGCTATGTGGTTTAAATCAAATCAAGTTGGAGGTGGTTTATTGATTTATTAGTAACAGTTAAACAGCAATCAGCCAACTACATGTTCAAGATAAGAGTGACAATACAGCAGGGAACAACAACACTAGACATCCATAAAATGTTAGTAAGTACCTGCAAATTTCTAAGCACCTGTTAATCTCAGAAGTTTGAATTCCCCTGCACACTCTCACATACAAGTTCACAGAATTACATAGCCACATACTGCCTTTTATAGTAGGCATGAATTACAGGCACATATCCCATTTTCAGGGGCCAGGGTGCAAGTCTGCTCTTGGCACACACCTCCTGTTAGAGATGAGGGTGCTCTAGATTGCTTTTGAATATGCTGTAGCACAGCTCTTCTTAAACCTGCAAAATTGCAGCAGTTACATTTTACCATTATATCTGAAAATATCAAACTATTTATTCGGAGTATAGTTCTGTCTGCATAATTGATGCTGAATAACAAAAATGTCTTTCTCCAAACTACAGAAAATGTCTGGTTTTCATTCACTATTTTTTGTCTCAGTGTCTTATGTGGATAGGTATGTGTTTAGTCTTTAGAATGGGGCGTTTAGGAATCATACAGAAAAGGACATTTAGGTTTTGTTTCCATTGCTTTTATTTTTTTTTCCCCTAGCTTTTCTTAGCTTTAGCCATCTTTTAAGATAAATTTTAGCTTACTTTCTCCAAAGATGACACTACCTTCTTGGTCTTACCTCTCAGAATACCAAACTGTCTTTTATTTTTATATTAGTTGAATTTGTGGTGTGAATCTATTCATTTGACAAAAGTATTGTTAAATACTCTAAAACAAATGAGAGTTATTAAAGGCAATGCATCTTTTTTAATGCAAACTGAGTTGTTTCTTAGTGCATACAGGCAGAATTTATGAACTGTGTACTCACCTGAACTTTTGTGTACTGTCTTAAATTTTATAATGAGTATTATGGGAGTCAGAATCAAGCTCAGAAATAATCGGAACTTCAGACAAAAGAATGTTGTCAGATCCGTACAAAGGCAAAAAAAGGGCAACTTAAATGCAAAAGGGCAAAATCTCAACTAATTTCTAGATGTGCAATTCAGATAAATTACAGTGTTTACTACTAGGGCATTCCACGAGCAACTGAGCAAATATTTTGCTTGCACAAGTGGCAAACCTATAGTTTTGTCCTCAGTTAAGTTCTGAGTGTGTTCATGATCTGAAGCCACTC